CTGTGGGTACTAACTTTGCATTTAGTTCTAGAGGCTCAAACTAGTCGTCATATCAGATGAATGTCCTTGGAGTCAGGTTTATGAGCAGGTGTGAAAGCAGATCGTGAATTTTCTGTTGAAATTCAGGTGGGGTTGATTTCCAAAACATTGTGACTAAAATATTTCCACAAACAGAACAAGTTTCTCTAGGGTCTGAGGGTAACACAGAATAAATCAGTTGCTGCTGTTTTTATGTTCTCATGGCCATGTTCTCACTTGGTATTTAGGTCATAAATTTGAACTTCATCTGTCACACACAAAGAATTTTTGACTTTCCAGTCCTTGAAGTCTGTTTACTTGGTTTTTTTCAAAGAGAGAAACCCTAGATATGGTTCCATTGAAGGTAGATTGGTAGGTTAAAGCAAAACAGAAGTGAATTAATTTTACCACACGTCTCTCCCAGGATAGATGTGGTTTTCTTCTAAGAGTTGAAAAACAAATGAGTATAAATTTTCTATATTGAAGAGGCAGTAGCTGTCCTTCCCTTTTTCCCTCTAACATTTTTTTCCTTCCTGAATTTTAATACCGTCTTCAAAATCACCAATTTCTTAGGTGACTGAAATCCTCATACACACACATACCTTAGCAACTCATAGAATCTGATTTATGGAGTACAGCTAAGGAACTGCCATTTGTAGAAGTAACTTCACTCAGCACTGTCACTCACAACCTGTGCTTATCTTTAAAAGAACACTGACAGTAGTGGTTCCCTCATAGACTTGAGGAGAGAGTCAAATGAGTTTGAAGTGCTCACAACAGTCTCTGGCACGTAGACAGTTCTCACCAAATATAAGATACTCTTCTCCTCACTAGAAAATAGCAGAATTGATTTCTGATTCATTCCTTCATTTATTCAACAGCATTACTCTGGGCCATTTTCTGGGGAGAGAGCCCAAGCTCTTATCCACCACCATTTGTTACCGCTAGTTTAATTTTTAAGAAAAATGTTTCCCTTTTTTGTAGAAAATTGGAATATAATGTCACTGTTTATGATTGATTCATGGTTCAGCATCATTTTGTTCTTAAATTTTAAAAATAAGCATCCTGGGAAGATATTGTTCAGTCAAAGCATTAAGGGGCAGTGATTCATAATATTTAGGGTGTGTTGAGTTCTGACTTTATATTGGAGCAGAAGAAGGGAGTGTAGCCACTGATTTAAATGTTGAATCTAAGGAAATTGTTGAATCAATAAACAGAATGCTGCTCCTCAGCTTAGGAGACCAATTTTTCCCAATTTACTTTTAGAGCAAATAAGGGTTTTCTTTATATTTAGTAAATGAACTTTTGCCTTCGAAGACCAAAATAAAATGATTACCTTGATAGTGATTGAACTTTTCAGAGCTACAGTGAATTTAGAAGAATCAGGTCTTTCTACTAAAGGTGTGTAGTTTGGAATTTGAAGTAATGTAAAATACGGGATAAGGGGCTAAGGAGTGGCTCAGTAGTAGGAATGGTTCTTGCTTAGCATCACGGGGTTTTAGATTCTCTCCCCAGCACCACAGAATGAGAGCTGGGAAGTACTAAGGGACTGACCTCAAGTTGATATTGAAGTATTTAATAATTAAGTTAGTATTTTAACATCTAAATAATCAAATATCTAGCTAAACAGGTTTACAAGTTTGGGGCCGTCCTCTTCCCACTAGATTGACATTCCTGACTTTTTGATACTTCATTAGTGATTTCCATGAGCTGTACTCAACGTGAAATGGCCATGGTCCTTGTTCTTTCACAGCTCTGGTGAGTCATCACATCACAGATCTCTGAACCCCGTGCTGCCAGGAATAGATCCACCACAGGAAAATAACTCAGCTCAAGAGCTGAGGCAGGAAGAGTGCAGGACGCAGGAGTGTGTTCACAGCTCTGCCATATTTAGCTGTACTACAACCTTGTTCTCATCACAGTCTTCCAGAGCCCTGGGTTTCTTATCTGGAAAGTAAAGTTTCCAGAGCTTCTGGGTAAAGTTAGGGCAACACTGCAGTTTAATATCCACTAAGGGAGACAGGAGACAAAGCACTTCAAGGGGCAATGATTTGTGATTTATGTAATTATAGTGGCTGATGCGTCAGCCTGGCAGGCAGCTATTAGAGATCAATGATGCTTTCTTTTTGTTCAAAAACCAGAACAAAAACAAAAACAAGAAACAAGGTGCTAGTGGTCAGAGTGCTGCCAAGTTCTAGAAAAAGCACCTTGGATCTTCTCCAGGGGAAAATATGAGGGGATGGTTGTCATGAACTGGTTTCTCAGATGGCTTCCACTTCAGCTTTCCCTAGGAGACTATGGTGGCATAACATCACCTTCCAATAAAAACAGTCCACCCAGACTTGTTGCTTGGGACTGTGGAGAAACAGAAGATACTTCATGCCACCTTCCCCTGCCCATCTAGTTTGGTTCTCTAGGGATAGATGTAAAAGGAACATACCCAACAAATGTGTGTTCTGTATTATGAACTTCAGCCACAACCCTCCTAGTGGCTTGGCCTGGGGTAAGTGTAACCGTCTCTGGCATAGGCAGATCTGAGCCATCCAGCCTTCCACCTTCCCTGGGCTCTTTCCCTGTCTTCTCCAATAGGAAGAGAAGCAGTCAGAGAATTCTCCTTTTCCTCAGAGGACCGAAGCTTCCCTACTCTGCTTATTCAGTACTTCCCTGCAGTCCGGCATGGTCTGCCACAGACTGATGGATATCCCCGTGATGTAATTAGAAGGGCATAAGTTGGGGTTCAGGATAGGCCTCATTCTGAATCCTGTCTGTGTCCCTTCCTGGCTGTGGCACTTAGGGTGAGTCACTTAGCTCTGATCGTAAGTGTCGCAGTATTAATAATTGTTGTGCAGATAGCCTCACTGCTTCCTGAAGAATCATATTTTATTCTCAAACCATATGCGGATATCTTTTCCTTAGAGAAGAGACTGAAGATAGGGCAGAGAAATAGACAGGAAACCCTCCCTCTCCCAAGCCCTCCACCCCTGAGAGTGTGTGATAAGTGCCAAAGGCCTGTTTGACTTTGCAGAGATCAAGAATTCTCATCTCCTGACACAGGCTCTTGGAGCAATGATATTTAAACATCGAGGGCAATGATCTACCTTCAAATAAAAAGTCATATGAAAGACTGTAATGGGTGAGTAAAAGTAGACTTTTAAAAACAATTTTCCTTCCAATCAGATGATTCTAGTCAATTGGAAAGATAAAAGGCTTATGTCAAAGCTGTCCAAAATATATAAACTAATATGTTTTTTCACACATACAAATGAAAGTGAACTTTTAAATTATTTAAAAAACTAAGGCATCTGAAACACTTAGAACCCTAGGGTTTGGGAAAAGATTAATTGAAACCCTTAAATCATGCAGCATTCAAATCTTTATTTGATTTCCCTGTGCCTGTTTGGTTATAACATGTACGGTGGACCTTGACTTAGGAACTCAATTGGTTCCTGAGGGCTGGTTGTAACTCAAGTTGATTGTAAGTCAATATGGCTGAGATCTGGATGTTTACCTGGATGGATGCTATAGATAACAAAAGGCAGATGAATCTTCCATTAACCTAAATAACCTAAGTTGTTCGTATGTCTGGTTTTAACTTGAGGGTCCACTGTATATCTGTGTTGGCTTAATGGTGAGGTAAACTATTTTTAGTACCAAAAGCCATGTGATGGTAAAACTGGTGAAATCTGAATAAAATATGTAATCTGGGTGACAGAAATGTGGATTTCTTGGTTTTGCTGTTTTGCTGTAGTTATATAAGATTGTTACCGTTGAAGGAAGTTAGTAAATGGGGCTTAGAATTTCTGCAGCTAACTTTGAGTTCATAATTATTGAAAATTTTTTTCTTAAAAAGTCACTAAAAAATGATAGTTTTTTACCTAACTGTTGAGAGGGTATGCAGTGCACAGACCACATTTAAAGAGTGAGTTTCCATTCAACTCACTTAAAAAAATTTATTTTCTTGCCACTGAGTTCTATAAACTCCACATTTGTTCTGTCAATGACTAGGACCCTCCTGAAGATTTAGAAATGAAACAGCTAATGGCAAATCAAGGAGAGCTCTCTTTCAAGAAATTTATTTTAGCTGCTGCTTAATTAATATAATGGTGCTAAAACCCAAATACTGAGTCTGCAGTCACTTGACACAGAAAAAGGTATATGAATGATGTGGCATGTTTTCCTGAAGCATTCTTTATGCTTGCAACATTCAGTAATTGGACCAAAACAGTGCTAGTGTGGTATGAAATCATTATGTGTTTTGAGTGTCCAAATCAGAGGTCCCTTTTGCCCAGTGTGATGAGTATTAGTCTACAGGAAAAATAGGAGGACTAAAAATACTTTTTAAAGAATGCATTTTTTGGCCAGGGATTTAGCTCAATGGTTCCGCAGCTTGTCTTGTAAGCGCAAGGACCTGAGTTCGATCCCTGGTACCAAAAAAAACCCAAACCAAAACAAGAATACATTTTTGATCCATTCACTTCCCTGCATATAAAGTAAAAATGGGCATGATATAGTGAAGTATAGTTCTCTATTCCCTTGGACTTTACAATGTGCTGTAAATTAATGCCATGCTCTTTGATAAAATCAGTGGTGGTTTTGCTCTTTATCACTTGGAGAAATGAGATAGAATTCCCTGATCCAGCTTATCTGTCTACACTATAATTGCCAAAGAGTTCAGGCTCCAAAATAACCTCTAAGAGTGATGGCCTCATGTATTTTGACTGAGAGGATCATGATGTTATCAAATCTATCAGACCCCTGTGAAGGTAGACAGAGCTCGGAATAACTTCTTCAACTTTTCCAACTTTTTTAAACTCTTCGTTCAGGAAAATGAAAGCAGGATCTAACAAGGTTCTTTGCATTAAGTAGTGCTTTAGTTTTGTGCCAGCTGTCGAGACTGCCTCAACTGACCCCTGAGGTGGAGACAAGTGCTCAGCTTTCCGAAAATCACTTCATCTGATCAGCTTTTCTGGCTCCTTCTCCAGGGTTATCAATGCTGGGAAGAGCACACACAATGAAGACCAAGCCAGCTGTGAGGTGCTGAATGTGAAGAAGAAAGCCGGGGCCGTTACCTCAACCCCAAACAGGAACTCCAGGAGACGGTCCTCCCTTCCCAACGGGGAGGGCCTGCAGCTCAAGGAGAACTCAGTAAGATCCCCATGTCCTTGGTTTTTAGGAGAGGGGTTTGGCGCATGCACACTCTGGCCCCAACACAAGACATTAGGGCTTCATCCAGGAATGGAAATGAGAAAAGCAGTGTCCCAGAGTTCATGGGGTCTAAACTGAGGGCATCACACACTAAGCTAGGGTCACACATGGTTGTATTTTTAACAATGTAAATAAAGAACCATCAAGATATATAGGTTAGATTGTAGGAGTTGTAATCTTTGGTGGTTCAAAGACACTACTTCTAGGTCTTTGTGAAGGAAGTGATAGGAAGCCTCTCAGGAGGGTTGGAAATAACTCTAGCCATTACCTCAAGCCCTACTGTGACTTTATCCTTTCATCCCTTTGCACTGTAGTTGTCCAGTTGGAGCCTGAGCCTGATGCTCTTCCAAATTAATATTTGTTTCCATTGGCCCAGAGCCTTCGCAGTCACAGGTGGCCCTAGAGTCAGAATGCCTTCTGTTGACAGACCACAAAGCATCTGGGGAGTAAAGCAGCCATCTCCTGAGAGAGTTCTGAACAAGTCTTTGGAAATGACTTGAGTCCCTCAGCAGATTATTTAGTCCTTTGGAGAGGTGTTCACTAGGAAAATTGGGGGACATGGAATTGGATGATCCAATATGCCTACTCTAGTAATCTTGAGGATGTTTTGTATAAAATTTCACAGCATTTTAAAAGATCTGGGAATCTCTACTCAGTCTTAAAAATAGTGTCCTGTTGCTTTTACACTCAGAATAATAAAGAATACTGATTTATTTTGGCATTACTAGGTCATTTTAGAGTTAGAAGACACAGTGACTTATGGGATTTGTCAGTTGTACTTATTTTCCAGAATATAGGAAGCATCTGTAAGACCTGACCCAAAAGAAGCAGGATTGAGGACCTTCATGGATAGGATAATGGTTAAGTGCACTGGCTGTGGAATAAGATAGCTCAGTGCAGTCTACCACTTATTAGCTATTTATTTTCAGGATGTTTATTCTTTGACTCTTAGTTTTCTGTTCTATAAAAAGAAATATTAACAGTAATAACTACCAAATGGCAAAAGGAGACTGCTTAGAAGTAGGAAACCCGATAGCCTGTGGAAAACGTTGAGCCTGTGTTTAATTAATAATTTTTAATAAATGGTAGTGATTATTTTCCTGAGGGCAGCCCCAACTTTCCCAGGATAAGTCTCCATGAATTTTCTGTGTTTATTCTTTTCCAAATGGTAGATTATTCAATTCCTTTCATTCCTACTGAACAAGATTATTTTGAGAATTGAGCTATTATGAAAAAGGGTTCAGAAAATATGAGGCACTAATGATAATGGGACATGAGTGCCAGCAGCTTAATATTGCTCTTTTCTCTGCTATTTCTCCCCTGGCACTGGGATGTAAAGTGATTTCAGTAAAAATAAGTCCATGTGGACATTTGTCCCAAGGCTGGTTGGTGACAGTGTTTCTCCTTTTTATTAAATTCCTCCTTGAAATGGAGCCTTTTTAACTTCTGTCCATGAGAAGGAAGAAACCAGTGCATATGCATTTTAGGATGGAGCCCTGAGCTCCCTTGATGGTTCTGCATCTCTATGAAACGCACACTTTCAGGCAGTGACCACACCCTGGGCAGCTCCCTTTTTCCTGCCTCAACCACAGCTCCTTTTCTCATGTCTGTCTTCCATTTTAGGCTTCTTCTTAGAGTTCAAGGGTAAATTATACATGACAGAAAATTTACCATTTTAACCATTTTCAGGTATTCAGTTCAGGAGTGTTCCTGCCAGCTTCAACTACTGGTGGTACAAAGGGATCTAATCCCTTTTATTGGTCTTTTTATTAATAAAATTAATAAAGACTCCCAATGGGACAGTCATGGTTGCACCACCAGTGGTTCAAGCCACCAAACAGCAAGACATACAAATTACGGCCCTGTTATGAATGTGTCAGATATATTCACATAGTACAACCATCACCATTATCCAACTCAAGAACTTTTCATCTTGTCAAACTGAAACTGTGTTCATGAAACATTCATTCCTCATTCTCCACTCCTATAACCCCTTGGCAGCCACCATTCTATTTTTCTCTCTTTCTATGAATATGAATTTTACCACTCTAGTTAGTTCACATAAACAGAACCGTACAATATTTATCTTTTTGTTTCTGGCTTATTTCATGTAGGAAACTGTCCTCAAGGTTAAATCCATGTTGTGGTGTGAGTCAGAACTTTTTTCTTAAGGGTAACTAATATGTTATCTTATGTATACATTACATTTTTTCCATCCATTCATCTGTTAATGGACACTTCAGTTGCCTTCATCTTTTGGCAATAATAATAGTAATAATAATAATACTATTTAAACATAGGTATACAAATATCTCTTTGGGTTCCTCCTTTCAGTTCTTTTGGATATATACCTGACAGTGGAATTGCTGGATATGTGGTAATACTGTTTTGGTATTTTTTTCTTTTTTTAGTTAATTATATTGGTACAGTTAAGGTATACAATGTAATGACATTTACCATTGGAAATTTGCACCTTTACATAATCCACCCTGGTTCTTATTTTTTGCCCATTTCCCTGCCCTTCCTTTAATCTCTCTACTCCTCCCTATCTACAAAGACTGTCCCAATTTTTCTTTTTCTCATATTAACTCCATTCCCTTCTTTCTTCTCCTCTACCCCTCCCATTTCCCCTTCCCCTTTGCAACTTTTCTTCCTATTTCACATTATCTATTATGCCTTTAGTCCTTATTTACACTTTCAGTTTCTCACACTAGAGAAAGTATTCAGTATTTACACATGTGTGTCCAATTTATTTCACTTAAGTGTATCACCTCAATGTGCATCTATTTAGCTATAAATGTCTCTAGTTTCTTGTTCTTTATGGCTCAGTAATACTCCATTTTATATATATAAAAAAAAACACATGCACACATTTTCTTTATCCAGTCTCCAGTTGATGGGCAATTGGGTTGTTTCCAAGTTTTAGCTATCAAGAATTGTGCTGCTATGAACATGGGTGCACATATATCACTGTGGTATGATTCTTT